AGTCTGATCTCTCCTTTATGAGGTGTCTCTTTGGATATATAGGGGTCAGGGAGCTGCTTGAGGAGACGGTCTCTTCTTTATAGGAGCTCAAATGGTGAGCTGTGAGCTCTGTTGTTCATTTAGAGCTGCTGGGCAGGTATGTTTAGGTCTGCTGCAGCAGAACTCATAAACTGCTTTTTGTTCCCAGGTGCTCTGTCCCAGTGATTTAGGGCTTTTCTTATGAGTTTCCGTTATGCTGCTGCCTTCTTTTTTTTTTCCTTCAGACCTGCCCTGCCCAACAAGGAGGTAGCCTAGTCACTGTCTGCCTGTAGAGGCTTTGCTGAGCTGCTGTGGGCTCCGCCCCGCTGCAGAGTGAACTTCCCTGCAGCCCTGTTTATATGGGTGTAGTTAGAACTGCCTCGGCAAGGGTGGCCGCCTCTGTTAAGGCAGAGTCTCTCTGTAGTGGTGGGTTGCCTTGGCAACGGCGGGCTGTCTCAGCATTGGCTGACTACCTCCGTAGTGGTGGGCTGCCTCAGTAATGGTGGACGCCCCCACCCTCAGAGCTGGACCGTCCCGGGTTCAGCTGCGCTTGCTGTGAAACTCTCAATCCAGAGAGTTTCTGATTGCTGTTCTTTTGTGGGGGTGGGACCAGCCGAGCCTGATCGCCTGGCTCCCTGCCTCAGAGCTTTTTTTTTTCTTTTTTTTAAGTTGGTGCTCCAGTCGCGTGTTGAAGAGGCGCCAGGGTCTGTTTGTTTTCCCGGGCGGCGACTCACTGTGCTGGCTTAAACAGTGGCACTGAGATTCGTGGCACTTTTTTTTGCCCTGGAATCTAGTGTCCTGGTTCTCTGCTCAGTCCCCTTTTTAAACAGACAAATGGGTGACTTCCCGTGGCTCCAATCGCCAGCCAAAAGGGCACCCAGACCGGTGTATTTTTTATGGGGAACCGCTGCTCTGGTGCGCTGGCAAAGCAGCCGGGCGGGGCAAAGCAGCAGTGCTGGCCGGCACAGCCACGCTGGCCGAAACAGCCGCGCTGGCGTCCGGTGGAGCTCCTCCGCCTGCGAATTGCCTAGTCTGTGGGCAATAAAAATGTGGCATCCACTCACCCTCTGCACTTTCACTGGGAGCTGCAATCCTGAGCTGTTCCTAAACGGCCATCTTGGATCCAATCAAAATCTCTATTTTTTAGACTGATTACTTAAAAGATAAAGAAAAAAAACTCTTTTAGTATGACTTCTGCCCTTTAGGGAAAGACTGTTTGGATAACCTGGAAGTTGAAGCTGATGACAACATACTTGAATTCAGTTAGACACTAGAAGAGTGTGTATCTAAGGTTATGAGTGTACATCATATCATAGAGGAATAATGTAAACAAGAAAACCAGTACTTTGAGCAGGGGAATGTATGGCTTTCAGTAAAAGTGAAATCATTTAAAATTGCCCAGTTATCCAAAACAGTTTAGACACATCAAGAAAAGCCAAGAGTACAGGCTCAAGTTATATTGGAGGAAATGTTGTTTTCTTAGGCTTTTAAGACAAACATTTTCAGAATCAGACCACAGTAATAGTAGAGCCAGAACTGGAAAAAAAAAAAGCTATAGGAACTGACAAAATAGCTGAGTGAGAGAGTCACTACAAAGCACAGCAAAAAGATGTGTCTTTTAAAGGAAAGTACATCATTATGGAGGCAATGATTTATGACCTGCAAATCACATGTAATGAGATGGAATAAAAAGCTGAACTCTTGAGATATTGAGGTAGGAGATGGGGCTCAGACACTGGAACAAATTGAGGACTAGCTAAAACAGGGACAGGGTAGAAGCAGCTTTCCATAAGACACATCCTGCAGTGTGTCATGCCAGTTTACCATTGCCATGGCAACACTGAAAGTTACCGCCCCTTTTCACAGCAATGATCCAATGACCCAGTAGTTACGACTCTTTTTTAAAGAAATTTCTATATAATCTACCCCTTAATTTACATATAAGTAGGTATAAATATGACTGTAGAACTGCCTCTGAGCTGCTGCTCATGACCACAGTCCATGCCACCACTGCCACCCAGAAGACCGTTGATGGTCCCTCTGGGAAACTGTGGCATGATAGCCTCAGGGCTCTCCAGAATATCATCTGCCAAGGCTGTGGGCAAGGTAATCCCTGAGCTGAACAGGAAGCTCACTGGCATGGCCTTCCATGTCCCCACTGCTTATGTGTCAGTCATAGACCTGAGTTGCCATCTGGAAACAGCTGCCAAATATGATGACATCAAAAAGGTGGTGAAGCAGGCATTGGAGGCTCCCTCAAGGGCATCTTGGGCTATACTGAGCACCAGATTGTCTCCTCCAACTTTAACAGTGACACCCACTCCTACCTTCAATGCTGGGACTGGCATTGCCCTCAACGCCTACTTTGCCAAGTTCATTTCCTGGTAAGACAATGAATTTGGCTATAGCAACAGGGCGATGGACCTCATGGCCCACATGGCCTCCAAAGAGTAAGAACACTGGACCACCAGTCCCAGCAATATCAGAAGAGGAAGATAGAGGCCCTCACTGCTGGGGAGTCCTTGCCACAATCAGTTCCCCACCACACTGAGAATCTCCCCTCCTCACAGTTTCCATGCAGACCCCTTCAAGAGGGAGTGGCCTAGGGAGCTCCACCTTGTCATGTACCATCATCACTAAAGTTCCCTGTGCTCAGTCAATAATAAATAAATAAATAATTATCAATAATCTAAGTGTTCTTTCTATGATCAATGATGTAAACATCTTTCTGTTTCTAATGTTCATCCATAATGTCTTACTGCACAATTTAAAAAGCGTTGTTTTCCCACTTTTAAAAAGAATAGTTCTAGAAAATAAGTGTGTTTGCAACCTGAAATTAATGATTTGGTATTTGCAAAGAATTGTAGTATTGAAAGTCTGTCACTCAGGTTAATTAATGGTTTTATCATTTCATTTGATTTAAGAATCTCTAAGTCCTTAACAGTGAAAAAAAATGCAAAGTTCTGGATGCTGTTATTGTTATTAAATCTGTAGGAAACAAAATAGTATTATTTTTCTAGAAAATTGATGACCACCATAAGAGAAATGCAAATCAAAACTACATTGAGATACCATCTCACACCGGTAAGAATGGCAAACATTAAAAAATCTGGAGACAGCAGATGCTGGAGAGGATGTGGAGAAGTAGGAACACTTTTACACTGTTGGTGGGAGTCTAAATTAGTTCAACCATTGTGGAA